CATTAAACAAACCCAGCACTACAGGAGAGTTACGCCAAGGCAGTATGAAGAGAAACACGTTATCTAGCTGATTTTACAACGGCAACAGCCCCTGCATTTGCAGGTGGGACACGACACAAAGACATCTGCCAACGGATGAAAGCTGCAGTCAGAAATCGGTAGGTGCAGAGCAAAAAGTTTTCTTTACAAACACGAGGCCACAGCCCGGTGGCTGCTGACACGATCCCAAAGCAGCGCCGATTGCAAAAAGACACTAAGGATGCTGCAAGGCAAGCGGGAACGAGCTGCTCGTCATCCGCAGAAGCCTGTGTTACATTTGCTTCTGCCGTTTCACATACCCGTGAAATCTGGCCTCTCTCTTCACTTCCTTGGCACATCACGGCCGTCTCCTCCGTTCTAGCTCCCGCTCTCCAGCTGAATTTTGTTATTTTTGTGAACCTTCTGGATTAGCCCCAGCTCTTAGCACGGGCTGGGACTCAAAGCCATATTGCTGCTCCGGGCTTCCCTTCCAGCACCTCTTCCTTCCCCAGGCTCCTTTCTGCTCTCCTCCTTCAGAGACGCTGCTGCCTTGAGATGCAGCAGGCTGCTGTGGCACTCCCTGAGTTTCCACAGCAATTGTGTAGGTGAAGTTCTACCCTTTGCTTCATCCCACTCCAGCATCCGTGGGACCAACTCCATCTTCTTCTGATGCTCTTCCCATCACTTCTCTGCAGGCACCCATTTCTGTCCAGCTCCTGTCTGTATCGCAGTTTCATTACTGTTGGCTATTCCCTGTCAAAGTCGGCAGCTACTTCTCTTAAGATCCAGTCTTTGACATTGTGAGCTGTCATTAGCAACAAATGATGAGATCCTAGAGCATCAATTATCCATACGCTTGGTCCAGTTGGGCTTACAACCCCAAAATACATCTACAGGCTCTCCAGTACTGTTGAAATAAGAAGCCGTTAAAAAGTCTTGTTACAGCCGCCATTTTATGGTGGGAAGATGAATGGAGAATCAGACTTCACCTTTAACAATTTTAACATTGAAGATGCTGTCATCCACTGTACAAATGGATTATTCAAGCTATTAATTAGGAATAAGGTTCAAATATTATTCTTGGACTTTGGTCTGGACCAATTTCACTGTCAGACAAGGATGGTGGGCTTTAAGGAAGCAAATACCTACTTACAGGCTGTTGCAATCCCTTCTTGCACAGTATTTTGCTGCAAACGTGCCCTACTTATACCAGCCTGCGGCATTCTGAGAGACAGATGGATGAGGATACTAGCAGAGATCTCTGCTAAGAAGCAACAGCCTTTTACAAACCTCACATTTCTGACCAGACCACATTTTTGGCACTTTCTCAAAACCAGACCTCTGAAAAATTGGAAACAAAACACTGCTGCAACCCCAGTTGCTTCGCAAAATAGTGGGTTTTTTGTGTTGATGTGGTGTTTACCCCCCAAGCCTCTTCTCAAGCCTTAACCAGATCGTTTAAGTCAAGTAAGTGTCTCCATGGAAACCTCCTTTCTCAAGGAACCTCCTTGCTGGAGAAAACCACGCACCCATTTTGTTTAAAAGGGGAACACAGTTTGGTAGGAGCACAATGCCTGTCTAGGGAAGAGCCCGTGACGACTCATCAGCCAGATTCACGTCCTTTAAAAACACAACCATTCAATAACGCTTTTTAAGGCTGGCTGAAGGTCTGCTATTGCTGCTGCAACTAAACTAGCAAGCTCTGCTGTCCTCGCCATCCCTGCCCTGGATCTTCACCCTCAGCTTCACAACCCGGCTTCTTCAAGGCAGACGGGGTCTCTGTACCCCTCTCATGCACAAACTCTCGCCCCTGGTGAACTTCAAATCAACCATCTGTTTAAAGAAAACCTAGAGCTAAAGTAATCCAAACCAATGCCCGTTCATGAAATATAGGAAGTGTCTTGTCAAAGCTACTAGTTGCTTCTTAAATAAGACAATCATCTTCTGTGTTTTGGAAAAGAAGAGATGAGTTTTAGCCTCTCCCTCCAACCAAGCCCTTTGTAAGCTGTAGCATGTTATATCACTTCTGGTAAAGGACTGCTTGAGATCCCTCAAAAAGGAAGCCAGTTTTCTGGAAGGATACTCAAACAATTGAATATTTTATATTCTAATATAGAAGAGAGACTTTAATATTAATAGACAAACAAATAATTAAGGGCTGTGACTAAAAATGGCTTCAACTCAGGCAAATCAGTTTATCATAGAGTATATAAAAAAGGAGTAGAGTATATAAAAAAAGAAAGCAAAGCCATCAAAGAAGTTCTCTAGTTGGAGTTGCTTTCAAATCATGGCAGAGTCATTATGTTCTCAGAAAAAATAAGTCCCAGAGGTTAATTTTTACATTGGAGTTGCTACTTAGGAGGTCTCTTTAGACAGGAAGGTGCCGTAAATGGCTACACGAAAGCTAACACAGGTGCTGATGCCAGGTGATCCACAGATGAAAAGAGAGTGAAGGCAAGGATGTGTCTCACAACGACAACAAAATACCACTCTCCTAAGCTGAGGGTAGTTACAAAATTTTTTAAGGTTTTCTGAGAACATAAAAACATGACGTGCTGTTAACCTGAAACTAGGTCCGGGCACACTGTAGCAGTCACCTCCTGTCCCCACCCATGATGGGGGGGGGGAAGCCTGGGACAAGGTGACACACACCCATGGTCACAGTCCTGCAGCTTCCCAGTGGAGAACGAAAGGCTTTTGGCAAACACCCTCTCAAGCAGCTAACAGAAACCAGGCAGGACCGATTCAAAGTAGAAGTCAGTGAACCAGAAGCACATCACTAGCGTAAGAAGAGGGATAAACAGTCATTTGTCTCGATTCCTTTCCATTATGCAACAGAGAATCCAGAAGAGCAACTTAAACACATATAAATAACCTCCGCTACTTCTTTGAGGAAAATTAGCAGAAATCCTGCTGCAGAAAAATAAGCTCATGTGCGTGCCAGCAGATAGGGCAGATCTGCATTAAGGTTCTCAATGGGATGCAGAGGGTGGAGTGGGGAAGTTAAAGAGAAGTCAGAGACATTAAACACATTTGTGGATCAGATTTAATCATGTGGATTAAATCATGTAATAAAAAAAAAAATCAATTGCCAAATCTCTAAGACGAGAGCCATACGAGGGTTTAGATCAAGTGAGATCTAGCCTCTAATGCCTTTCTTCCCACATATGCCATCTTGAGTCTTCCAGAAGAACTGTAAACAAAGTCAGTCCTTATCAAAGGGAATTATTCAAGGGTAGTGGCCTTCCATTTCGCAATCTCCACCTAAGCTCCAAGCAGAAATGCTCATCAATAGATCATATCCCACTCCAGGCTGGCAGCTTTACTGTTTTGCCCAAGGAGTTCATCCTTGGACACGAGCTTTGTGAGGGGAAACTCTTAGTATTACAGGGTGATGAAATATATATACACAAAGGGATAGAGGCTGCAGATTTTCGCAATGGACTTCAGACTTCAGCCTGGTGTCAAACACCCTGGAGCAGAAAGGATGGGAGAAGGCACCATAGAAGCAAAAGACCTCACAAACTCTATCTACACTCAGTAAAACTAGTGTAAGAGCTGTCATGTATTGTGGAGCGAATAGGAAAAATATATTAGAATTAAAACCCAGGTGCAGGGAGGAAAGTGCTGAGCCAGCAGCAGGTCTCAGCAAGAAACAGGAATGAGTTTCTGTGCAACAAAAGTGCTTTGGAGAGAGATGAGAGGTTACTCCAGAATCACCCCATAAATGGCAAAAGCAGCTCCCCCAGTTTTAATCAGATCTTTTATCAATTTTCACTACGTGTAAGGCTACTCCCCTGAGAGCTACTTGATATCCCAAAGGACTACAGAAGAAGGAGTAAGAGACAAGACTATATCACTTCATCCAACACATTCAAGGCACCAGTCACGACATGAACAGTAATCCCACCCAACAGACTTGTCTGGTGACAGGAAAGTCTCCAATCCTCCCTCAGCCCCGAGTTAAGAAATGCAGCAGTGGTTTTATTAAAAATCAGTATACAGTTGAACATAAGCCCAGTGTTTACAACCAGTCTCTCTAGTAGTTCCAGGATTCCTGTTGTTTTACAGACCATCAGCAACCAAAGGAATCAGTAGCATAAAGAAACGACTCATTTAAAAAAATTAACGTCCCCACATCTCCAAGAAAGCAGCATCCACAATCAGTTTGTTTTCCATTGGACTTGCTCTATGAAACAAGAGTTTTCAACATCATTTTGCAGACAAAGCTTATCTAGTTAATTGCTCTGTTTGCTTTATCATACAGGGCAAGGGTCTCCAAGTCTCACAGCGTTCATAAAATAACCCTGAAAGAACTCTCTGTCAATTTTTTGCTGTGATCTACCTTCTAGAACATCAGAAACATTTGAGATTTGTTTAACTAGTTGAGTTGAAACTGAAGGTGGGGGGACGTAAGTCACACAGTTTGGCAAAAAGATCATCCTTGAATTATGTTGTCCAAGGGCTGCAGGAAGCACACAGAGGCTTTCTCCATGCACCCTCGAGGCATCCAGCAGTGCTGTGGGAGGGATGTGGATTCACACCTCCATTCCCCTCTCAGTTGTTACAGCTGTTCACATTTCTGCCGCCTGCTTCCTTCCCTCCCCAAGTCATCCAAAGCACAGAGCAGCCTCAGTGGTGTAATAGCAGCTTGGCAGAAGCAGGAAAAGTCCAGCCAGCAAAAGACTTAATTTATTAAGATAAACATGGTCTAAGGCTCCACATTATTTTTAAAAATAAACACAGTAGGAAATATGAAAACAAACTGGCTTTGCTACGTGTAGGTTAGGTTCAGACGTTCTCAGAAAGATCTTCTCAACCATACAAAATACTCTTCTCCTCTCATCCCTATCATGAGGATACAACAACAGTTCACTATTTAAGATCAGCAATGTCCCTGTTGTGTGTCCTTCCACTTTCAGTGAACAATACCTCTGCCACCCTTCAGGGCAGATCAAAGTTTTAAGAACACCCCTGTGAAGAAGGAGCAGAAGGGGAGAGGGACAGGTAATCCAGTCTTTGAAATGAACATCTAAAAGTCTTGACACGACGACTGTGTTGACTCCCCTACTTCAATGGTTGTTCTTGGCTGCCTCTTTAGCGGCAATAATCAGAGGGGTAAGACTAGATAGAGGCTTTGCAATTTTCAGGAACTGGTGCTAGGAAGAAGAAAAAAGAAAAAGTGTTAAACTTTTCAGAACATATCCCAGAAGTCTTGTGTCTACTCAAAATATTGGCACCTAGACCCATATGAAGTCTAACAACCTACTCTAATCTCTGAACAAGTGAAACCAAAAGGTCTGTTACCAACACAAGCTTTTGGGACTTGCCTGAAGTGATGAACAGATTTGCACCCAACACAGGCTAAACTCTCCGGTGTTTGTCCCTGTTCAACAAGCAAAACTCAGCGAATTCCCCTGGGGAAAAAGTCTTGCAAAATCTATAGTGAAACTCTGCGTGGAAGGAAGGTGTACCAAAAACAACCTGTCCGGTTCAAACACAAGGTGCAGGGCTTCCTGTGGGAATCGCCTCTCATTTCTCTCCTCCCCATCACCACAGGTCTGGTAAAAGCATTGCCTTGGTCTTCTAAGGATATTAGAAATTTGCAAAGCAGCTGGAGTTTAGGAGAGCAGCACAGAACTTGCAACACAGAACCATTCAGTCAGTCTCCTATACAAGGTGCTCTGTTAAGTAAAACAGTATTGATTATCAAAACAGCTCTCAGATGAGACTGAAGGCATGTAGGGCAAGTTCACAAGCTGTTCTAAAAACAAAAAGCAACTATATCCCATAGAACTTCTGAGCATGAGAAGGGATCAATCACCCAGGGAAATATGCTTCAGAGATGGCAGGGGTAGGGTGGGAAATCAGAGGCCAAAAGGTAGTTAAAAACATGCAGAAATGTTACAGTCAGTATGTTCTTCCCTGCTCCAAGGAACGGAACATTACTGCTCTCCAGTAATGGGGCTGGAAAGTCCAGGAGAAAAAGTGATCTATCAACTACCGCCACTCTGCCAGTGATTAATGCTACATTACAGTCTCAGAAGGCAGCAACACATCCACTAGACAAACTAGTGGAAAGAAAGGAAAACATAAAAGGGAACTGTCACAGTTGAGGTCTGAGTGCCCTGATCAGAGATTTATTTTACAAACAGCTACATTTTCCACCCTCATGGAAAATTTGACAGAAGGAACACACAAACTTCTCCTCTCATCCATATCTGTAAAAAGCCTGGCAGCTTGGCCTTCCCCTTTCACCAGGAGTTCAGACTAAGATACCAGGTTTTCAGTGAAATAATTGATGATAGGGTGATGAGACACTGAGACTAGTTGTGGATGCCCCACTGCTGGAAGTGTTCAAGGTCAGGCTGGACAGGGCTTTGAGCAACCTAATCTAGTTGAAGATGTCCCTGCTCATTGCAGTGGGGTTGGACTACAGCATCTTTAAGTCCCTTCCAACCCAAACCTTCTATGATTAAGATGTCTCACAAGCTTTGTTCCATCACCTCTGCAAGGGGTAGTATCTGGAAAAATGTGGTAATGCCAAACTGCTCCAGTTAATGCAAGCCGTGCCTATTCCAAAGAGCTCTGTGTTCCCTCCACCAGAAGGGAGACAACCAGAACATCTGATAGCTAGAAGCCCTCCTGCTGTCCCAACTGGAACAAGCACGGCCAGACCATGACAACACATACAGATGTCCGCGCCAGCTGTGTGAAGAAGCCACGGAAATTAAGGGGCTCAGCATTTGGCAGGCCTGGGGCACAGGTATTACTTGAGGTTGGTTACAGAACACGCTGCACAACTGCTGCTAGTAGCAAGTACAGCATAAAAAATGAGTAGTCTGTTAACACTTCATTATCGATTTAGGTTTTGGGGTTGGTTGGTTTTTGTCTGGCAGGTTACCTTAGCTGTGCTTGTGCCTTCAGCTGATGCAGTATTTAAGACCCCAAAGACGTTCTCTCCATAAACCCAGCCTCACTTGGGATTGCATGATTACATTGATTCAGCCCCGTTCCCCATCACCCACCTGTAGCAGCTCTTTCGCAGAACCTCTCTTTTCCACGTCCATTTCAAGGCAGCGATTTAAGAAGTCTCGGAATAAGGGTGAAAGTTTTTCCGGATTCTGCAGTTCTGGAGTTCCATTAGTAGCAATGAGATACAGGGCCTAAAGTAAAAACAAGCACCAAAGAAACAGAAGGTTATGCAGGTTAGAGTCCATCTCCGAATTAGAGACACTCGTTTTTCCTCTCCCTCTTCCCAGTTCAATGGGGAGAAAAAACACAACCACTTTATCAGGGTGACTAACCAAAGCTTAAATTTCAGCAAACAGAATAGCTGCCAGCCCTATTTTTATGTGGATGGGATCCAATTCTTTGTTTTACCCTCATAATCTGGGTTTGGATCCTGCAGCCCTCTCAAGGGATTAGGAGGACAAAAACAACATTCCAGACCGTGTTTACATAGGGAAGTTAACTGGCATGACTCTACCAGTGCCAGACTCCTGCAATAACTATATCCTCATGGGAAGGTACCCCTGAATAAATAGGAGATTTTGTTCTGTCAGTACTTTGCCTGAGTGCACAAGCCTAAAAAGTCAGTAACTATAAAGATGCATTTGGCTCCTTACAGAAGATGTCCAGCAGACCCTCAAGCAGCTTTCAACATCTTACAGAAAGAAGCAGTTTTGCTACTGCCTGGGGATGAAGCATTCACACACACACACAGACACACACCCCCCCCCACCCTGAGAACCAAGGAACTCAGAATACATCCATTTCAGGATTTCATGCAAGAAACTTCCTGGATGGATTTTCAAAGGAAACAGAAACCTGTCAGACACTTGTTAATATGCAGGCCTTTTGAGCACATCACTCAGCACGTCCCATGGGAGCAGTCTGGTAGCCTGGGAATTGGCATAAGTTGAGTTGAATGAGGCCAAAGTACTGTTACTTAACCACCCTCAACACCCAGTTTCTTTCACTTTTCTTTGCTGCTGCTCTTCTCTCCCAAAAATCACTTCCAGTGCAAGAGATGGAGGCAAAAGTTAAACAGAACTTTTCTAGATCCCCTCATCCTATGTACCTGAGGGAGAAGCCATAAACCTGGCTTATATTAAGAGCAGTTACATCCCTACAAACTGACAGCACCTCCCCTTTCATTAAAACAAAACAAGAGAAAGACATCAGGAGGCTTAATCCCTGTCTAAAGACTTATTAAACTTGTAGCTTTATTTGGAGCACGCAAGGAGGAACAATCCACCAGTAGAAAAAAGCTCCATTTATAGAATAGTAACGTGTTGTACTTTTGAACTTAAGGAGATTTTTGAACTTAATTTTTTAACTCTTCTGCACTCACAGGGAACAAGGATTCAAGAAGTCAGCTGCTTTGGTGCCATCAGGTACTCCTTCTGCATCTATCGGCATCTCCAGAAAGTGAGAAATTGTAAGTGTGCATTATCTAACTCATCATGTGTTACCATCATTCCTGTGCTGATCAGAGGGTCTGCAGCTATGTCTTTTAACTAAGATGATCTCAATCTTCTCACTGTAACAGCTAAGGAAATACAGGGCTGCAGGTGGTTAAACTGCACTGCCTCCTTTAGAGCAGAGTTTTTCACACAGGCACAGCAAAAACCTACGGGCAAAAGATACTCGCTTACTCTGAGCGGGTTCTCATTGAGGTAGGGGGGCTCTCCTTCGATCATCTCGATGGCCATTATCCCCAGTGACCAGATATCCACTTTGGGCCCATATGCTTTCCGCGTCACCACTTCAGGCGCCATCCAGTATGGGGTTCCCACCATGGTGCTGCGTTTGCTCTGCTCAGGAGTGATCTGGGCACAGAAGCCGAAGTCAGCTGAAAAATTAAAGGCGGGGGGGGGGGCGGGAAAGAAAAAGACTTAGAAATCAGCAAGTTTCTCTAAAAATAATCCTTACTGATGCCAGAGCTGTAGTACAAATTACCCTGCTGCACTGTTTGGTGTGTTGCTGCTGCAACTGTGAAAGGGGGGTGGGCTTGTAGCTAATACAGAAGATGGTGTTGAGAAGTAAGTTTCTAAATCTGACTCACTGAGGCCTTGAGGATTACAGAGCTGCTGACTTGTCTACGTGAACGATGGAGAACACTAAATAACTGTATACAGACGTTGAGGCACTTGACTGTGCTTGCAGCATTACGCAGCTGTAATACACTATGTAATATATGGTCTAAAGACTGTTCCTGGGTATGTGAAAGTAGACATTAATGTGCAATTTGATCCAGATACACCCTCCAGCCCACATACTGTATTATCTGGTGATATTTTCAGTCCCAGAGATATTACTTCCCCAGTACGTATATCATCCCTTAAACAGGATTTGCTTTACAGAGGAAATGGTGTTCAGAATAAAGTATCTAAATTTATACTGATTATTTTCTTCAAATAGACATAAAGATGGAGAGCCTTCACCCAAAGACTGCTGGGCCCTATGTCTTATTTGTATTTGACTTACCAAAAGAAAACCGATTTTGTTCTTGTGAGCCCAGCAGAATCAACAGAGCAAGATGCACTGCCCATCCTGACCCCTGTGGCACCGTGGGTTTAATTTTAGGCAGAATGATGAAAATTAAACTGATCCCTAGCTGAGTTTTCATCAAGGCTAACAACCAGGAAAGGTACATATGGTTCATAAACAGAGCAAATTTCCAGCAGAGCAAATAAGCAGCTCAGGTCCAGAAGGTTACTGCATCATATCCACAGGGACTTTTCTAACTGTAAACTACAGCCTGGTACCTGCATACTGTGCTCAAAGAAGCTACTCCGTAAGAACAGAGCACTTTGGCCCTCATCAGCTATTCATCGCTAAGACTCCAGAGATCTGACTGTACCAAAGTACAGCTTTAGTCTAAAAAGCAATTATGTGCAAAATAACCCCACCTTCTTACTCAGCATATCTGCACTGTGTGAATTTTGAGTCATATCTGCTGTCACTGCTGACAAAAATAGGTTTATTTATGCCTGTTGGGTGCTAGCCAACGGAACTGAGAGGAAGAGAAAGGGAGCACAATTCTGTTAAAGCTATAGGTAGAAGGTAATAATTCACTAGTTTCCAGACTTATCTGCACCTGGGCAATGACAAGCACAACAGCTACCTTAGCACCCGAGGGGCATAAGTCTCGAGGTCTTCATTACTGGTGATAACACAAGGAGGAAACAACATTTAGTCTGGGTTTTAAGATTTTCTAGTTACAGTTTTCAATTCTCCCTCCACTTCCCCTGCCCCACAAGTACCTGCAGTATTTTGCAGACTTTTTTATTTGCAGAAGAGATTGCTCGCAAATAAAGACTTCTGACCCTACACCTTCAAACCCAGCTTTCTAGACTGGAGTAGCATTAAAATATTATTATTTTAGTCCACAAAAGCAGATGGCCCAAAGCTAAACAAACCCCAAACCTCACTTCGAGTCTGGTATCAGTTCACAAGGATTCATGCTTGCCAATCTCCATTAAAACCAATGCTACAAAAATACCTAAAGCAGCATTGCTACAGCCTCTTCATCGCCACAGCATCAAGCATTTCAAACACCCGTGTCCCCAGGAGACCTGGCCCAGAGCAGACAACAGGCTTGGGTTGATAACTCAAGTCATCACCAGCAATGTTCCCCACATACTTAGTTTGACAGAACCATCCATTCCCAGCAGGATGTTGTCACTCTTGATGTCTCTGTGAATAACTTGGTTTGAATGGAGGAATTCCAGAGCTTGGAGACACTGAAAAAAAAAAAAAAAAATTGAGATATTCTTACTGTGCATGAAATTATCCACTAGTCACAATTAGCCAACTAATGGACTCTAACAACGTGCATTTTGAGTAGCAAGGGCTTAGCGTCTTAAGAGTTGTCGTGGTTTAGCTGTTGTGCACCTTCGTATGTGCAGGGCTATAAAGAGACATCCCACTGGGATCAGCAGGTCCTAGGAGGACAGGCTAGTCCCAAAAGACCCAGAAACAGGCATAATCAACCCCATTTTGCGCTCCAGTCCTCCCTCTAGGATGAAACATATTAAGCTTGCATTAGGATTGTATGCTGCAACCTCCCAAATGAAGTCCATCCTCTGAAATAACTGTTGCATTATAGAAGCTGGAGACAGCTATTGCTGTGGAGCCAGTGCCAGGTCATGGAACGCCCATGTCCCCTTCCCAATCACAGCTCCCTCCGAGCGTGAGGGCTGCTTTACCTCTCGGCACACAGCTGCGATTTGTGCTTCATCCATGCAGGTCTCTGTCACAACATCTGTTAGGGAGCCTCCTGCCAAGTATTCCATGACCACCCACAGCTCTTCTCCTACAAGGTAACTGAAGAGCCAAAACCAGATTTTAAAATCAGCAAGTATGAGCATGCCACCGTTAACCCAGCCAAAATGCACTGGGTTTTAAAGCTGTCTTAGAAGTGCAGAGAAACCCTGAGGCTTAAGCAGTGTATTTAACAGTACTGGGGCACCAGGTACTCATGGTACCTTCTCTACATGGGATGACCTGATCACAACCTGAATGAGCAGAGGGAAGGGCGAGCGCAGAAAGTTGAGGAAAGAGATAATGGGAGAGCGGGCTACGAGTTTCCTGGCCATAAAAGGCAGGCTGAATTTTTCTGCCATGGAAAGGGCCCAGACTAAGATGGAGACACAACC